TGATTTAACTGCATTAGAAATTTATTAAGTAGGCTAAAATAAATGTGGAAGTAGTATATAAGTATACGGTGTGTGTAAGAACAGTAGACGCAATGTGAAAGGATTATAAATGAATGTGAGGCTTTTGAAAATTAAAAAATGCTATCATATGTGGAATATTTCACTAAAAAGAAATAGAGGAAGAGAGACATGTACTATGCTATTATAATACTAACGGATTACAAGTGTAGGTTAGGTAGACTTATATTAGGTATCGTATTCTGTGCTGAGGACTCTCTCATTTTCTAGTATTTCGACGTGAAGTAATGCTGTACCCCTAGAGATATTAACATAGAACAGGTCTGCCTTTCTACCCCAAATTCAATTTCGTAGGGAAAGCTTTCGTAAAGTGCTAGCTTGTCGACCACATCATTCATCATTCTTCATATTTTCTTTAGAATCTTCTAGACGCAATTGTTTGATGATCTTTATATTGATCTTTAGAGCATCCTCTTTCCATCATATTTCAATCTAGCATCATTAAGGATATATTTTTTTATTAAAATATATTTTAATTATTAATTTGAACTATAAGCTATGATTAGGTAGGCGTTTGTCGATGATTTTTGTAGGTAATTATTAGTTTTATATAACAAAATGTACTAGTGTATAATAAAGTTTTATTTATATAAACATTCGTTATATAATGTTATTGAACTATCGAACTTTGTTAGAATTTCCTGATTATACCAAGACAAAACATCGACCATAATATTTTATGATTAGGTATAGCGAGGTCTTCAGCTGTCATGGTATAAAATCTAACAGTTTATAGACATAACAAATAGCTATGTAGGTATATTATATTAAATTACTTTCCGCAATCGATGCAAGTGGGAGGTGTATATGAAGGTGACTATCAAAGAGTAGACTAACTAGTTTTGCTATTAAAATACAGACACAATGATGACAAATTGACTCATTGTTCACAATATTTTGTATGACTTCAGTATTATAAATACGTTAGTGACCTTATTTCATATACGTTAAGTAAAGTATTATAACCATATGCTTTCATATTCTGTGTCATTTGCTTGAAATCTTATGTGTCAATTTAATGTACTATTTTAGTTTCATTATGAGGTAAAATAAGAAATTCTTGAGAGTTTCAAATGATGTCAGCTTCACTGAGATTCATAAATTCTATCAATCGTATCAATTTCTAAATTGGGCTAATTCTATTCAATTAACAATACCAATTTAATATTTGTACCGAATTTTCATTGAAAAACGTTGAACCTTTTAATTGTGACGATATTATAATAGATGTAGAGAGACAGATGTAGATATAGCTCTCTCTATCTATCAGGAGGTATGAATGGCTCATTTAGGTTCTATTGATTAGCGTGTGCTTGCATTTTTATTGAATAAAAATGATATATTTATAGATTTCGGTCTTTTAATATACTGTATGTATGTACAGTTATGTTATACACGTGTACCAATTAGTAACTTATGTCACTTTAACCAAGTAAGGTAAAGCCGCTTTCTACACATAAATAGCGGGGTTTTGCGAAACTATCAGACACACGCGACACAAATATACATTCTGGCAAAGTTGTGTGGTTACTAAGCCTCCTTTAACATTCGACATAATTATTAATCCATTTGTTTCATGATAAGATTATTCTTAAATTACATTTGAAGCAAAGACTAATATGTTTTTAAAAAAAATCCGTTTTGTTGTTGTTTTAACTAAACAATCGTTTAACTTAATACGATAAGATCAGTTGTATGACTATTATATTTACAACATAATTAATTGTTGTAAGTATCACAGGTAGTCATGCTCGAAGCTTTTGTTTTCCACTATTTTCCTGTACGCCTACTCTACTTGAGCTTACTCTACTCTACTCTATTTTCTGTGATTATTTTGTCCATCCATTACTTGTAAATATATCATTGCTTATTTTTTAATGACTTCTAGAGAAAAATCTCATTTTGACTATGTATGTACTTGTTTTGCTTTTTTAAGTTTGTCATCTCAGATATTTAGTCCTACGTCAACAAATTTAAATGTTTTTTTTATGCCGATACTTATCATGTGTTTCCATATACATTTTATCAACTGACCAATAGAATTAGACTGACATATAGCGCTAGTCTTATGATTTATGCAATTAAAATAGCTGTTTCCGTGGCCTGAACATGGTGTTATTTACATATAATATTTATTGATTTGAATATAAAATATTAGTACCCATTAATTTAGATGGAAGTGAGTGACCGTTAAAGTAATGACAACACATTTTAAGTCATAATGGAGTTACATAAATTACCAAAATAGAAGTGTGACGCCATCTTTCTATGAAACGTGTTAACCAGTAAACCAGCAACATCGAGTTTAGATCTTCGGGTCTTAACTCAAATCATTTTCATTTAACTAGGAGTATTTAAAGTTGTAAAGTACCTAATTAAAAATATTGTTTATACGTCATCATGTTACTAATATTATAAACGCGAAAGTGTGGATGGATGTTTGTTACTTTTTTACGCAATGACTACAAATGCATTTTAATAAAACTTTACAATAATATAGCTTATACATCAGACATATAGGCTACAAATTTCACGGGGGTGGAACTGCTGGTACAGCTCGTATTGTAACAGCTACTAGTATATACGAACTTAGTGTATCTATTTATTCTGTTTCTAAGATATAAAACTGTTACCGTACATTCTGACTGCATTGAAACTGTATTTGTTACTTCTTATGGAATATATACTAAGATTGTCTATATGAATAAGATACTAGAAATCATTCTACCAAAGACTGACGTCATTATTTAATTGTAACTTTGTTAACTACAAAGTTACGTATTTGTATAATATACCTAATAAATTATTATAAAATATGGGGAAAGGAAGAAATCCACATATTGTAAACAAATTGACGGCCCACCTAATGGTAAGTAGTAACTATATAAAGGAAAATACCACGTATATCACGTTAGCATATGACACTTGTGATACCATTTATGTATTGCCGTTCCAGAGGACTAAGATGTATCATGTATTCTGTGATGTCATTGCCTAATCTGATCTCTAAATCTGAAACACAGCTTACAAAGTTGCTTGGCACCTGAAATAGATGAGACTAAGGCACTTAAGCAGTTTTTACAGACCAACTCTGGTCGTACGATCGCTACCCCTCCGAACCGAACCGGGTGCGCCTGCGATTACAGCGTAGCGTTAAGGAGCGCATCGCGCAGATCCGGGACGGCCGGTGGGGCAAGCTCCTAGAAGAGATAACGCCATGCCACACCGCGTACTGGCGCATAGCGAAATCTCTCAAAACCGACCAACAGACAAACGACATGCCCCCGCTAGTCCGACCCGACAACACTATAGCCTTCTTCGACGAAGACAAGGCTGAGTGTCTAGCGTCCAACTTAGATGCTCCCCCAGCACGCTCCCAGTCGAGGCAGGTCATCTCGAGAAGATAGACACCGAAGTCGAACGCATCGCGTCCACCCCGCCCACCGAATCCTCTCACCAGTCACGCTTGATGAGGTCAAAACGCTAGTTAAACAACTACCTATCAAAAAATCACCCGGCTCAGACGGCATATCGAATAGATTAGTCAAAAGTCTGCCATCCCAACTTTTGTTATTACTCGTCGCTATTTTTAACGCGGCGCTGTCCAACGCTATATTTCCAGACAGCTGGAAAGAAGCCGTGGTCATTGGCATCCCCAAGCCCGGTAAAAATAAATCCGACCCGTCCAGTTATCGTCCTATCAGCCTCCTCAAGGCTATGGGCAAGCTGTACGAACGAATCCTCCTCGCCCGCCTAAAGGAGTTTATATACTCCAAAGGCCTGCTCATCAATGAGCAGTTTGGCTTCCGAGCCAAACACTCATGCGTCCATCAAGTGCACCGCATCACGGAGCACATTCACAAAAACACTCTGTACTTCGCCACCAAGTCCCCCAAAGGCGGTACAGGCGTCCTATTTTTCGATGTGGCTAAGGCTTGCGATAAAGTCTGGCACAACGGCTGGATTTACAATCCGTTGTGCCCGGACTCCTGGTACGGGATTTCCTGTCGAATCGCTCTTATCGCTACCGTATAAACGGAGCGTTATCCGACCCGCACCCCATACGAGCCGGCGTCCCTCACCCGTCCTCTCTCCGATGCTCTACTGTTGTACACCAACGACATCCCCAAATTCTCCGACTTAAAAGTCGAAATATCGGTTTCTGCGTCGAGCCACCGGTGCGCCGTGGTTCATTCGCAGCGTAGATCTCCACCGCGATCTTAATCTGCCCTCCATCAAGCAGTTTATGAAGGAAGCGTCTCGACGCTACTCCGACTCTGCCCAATCCCACCCTAAGTAGCTTATAGTCAGTGCGGTCGACTACGCACCGAGGAGTAATATCCGACATACGCGACAACGTCGCCCGAGGCACGTTGTCATTGACCCCGACGACCCCATAACGGCAGGTAACCTCCCCACGGGCCCACCCGTTCCACCCCGACCACACTTTTACACACACACACGACACCGTCCTCGCCGGCGAAGACGACGACCTCAAACACACAATATCGCGCATTCAACCGGGCGCCTGCGCGCGCCCGGGCGCTCCACACCGGCGCCCCCGGGCGCCCCTCCGATCGATCCCCCGTCCAATTCAAACGGGGATCGAAATTACGACGGCCTGAGCCGAGGTTCGAACCCCTAGTGGTGCCCTCAGACTAAAGTCGTATCCGTCGGGCAGGAGTTCATAAGTCCTTCCGCGGGTTTGGAGTGCCATCTGCACTCACCCCATAACGTCCGGTAAAATGGACAACAGCATAAAGTTCTGGTAAAATGTAAAGTTCTGGAAACTTAAAAAAACATGTCTTTGCTTGTGTATGTTTACAAATACAAATAAATAAACCTCATTTTATACATGTTTGATACATGTTAACTACCAAGTTATGAATATTACATTGACGTTTGTGTAAACATTAAAATTGTCATAAATCGTTTGCCTGTCGTTTGGGATTTATCATAATTTGTAAAATGTATATCGATTAGCTGGATAAATGCCATTTAATGTTTCTTAGAAATAGTTTGTATAAATATTTCCGCAATTTGTGTAATAATTTATTTGTACCAATTTTGATTCACACGTAATAAATATTTCTATACAATGAAGTCTTCGAAGTCCACGAAATCAATACAGAGTAGTACGAAATCGGTAATATTATATATGAAAAATACGTGTTTGTAAAGGTATCCATTATTCAATGGATACCTTTCCAAACACGTATAGATGTTTGATGTATACAGAAAACTGCTACAATTGTGGCTACAACTTATTAGAATAAATGTACGCAAGAGCGTACATATGCAATAAAGATTTGGCCCACCTTGTAATTTATAATATGTATTGTATGTAAGTCGAAACACTGAAGACATTAATTACAACTTTTGACAACCTTTGCCAAACTTCGCGAAATACGTTATAGTTAGAACTAAGTTATAGTTTGTGATTTAGTATTTAACTAACTACAAATTACATCCTTACATCCAAATGCCAAAGATTTCTATAATTTCGTACATGTTTTAATATTTTGCAATTTTTTAAAGGTTGTAACAACAAATCATCTTGAACCTGATCGCACCTCATCATCCCTGCCCAAGAAGATCTATCGCTGTGAGTCACCGATGGGAGTTCGGCAGAATCCTTGGACACCAACAAAACGACGTGGACCAATTGCTGCTGAAGCTGCTAGTCCAGGGCCAGCTGTTGTTTCCTTGCCGACTCTAATTGGTAAATTGCTTTGAATTATTTTAATCGTAATTGTTTAACGTACGACTCTACATTGATATTATATATATTAGATTAAATATAATAACAATAACTCAGGTCAATTGCTACAGTGCAATCTATAATAGTTACAAACTAAGCAGAGTTTATGTTATGAGTACTAGAAAACTATGAAAATACTCGTCAGATACTATTATTATTATTTTTGTTATGTTTAATATTTCAGAGCATACCGAAAGCCATTTAGTTCCTATACAAAAACAAGCCTTGACAAAAATAATGTATGTACTTGTAAATACATATTCTCAAATATATTATTGACATAGTAAATATTGAAGACCGCTAGTGCATTGTTGTAAATACAGACATTATTTTAAAATGTATGCCAATTTTGTACATAATTTTGTGGAGATTACTTTTCCGGTTGATGGCGTTAGTTTTAGCGCATATTGTTCGCGGTGTCTCGTATGTTCGAGCTGATGTCATCTCCTCTAGAGGTGCGAGAGCGAGATTATAGCCAGCAACGGTCTGTAAACGCCGACCTCGCTTTGTGTTAGTATACAAAGTGACATCATGTTAGTGCTCGCCAAATAACGCAATACATTTTCTCTCCATAAATAAGTAAAACAGTATTGACCTTTACGCGGCACGCACGCATACGTCACTCAGATATTGAATTGCTTTTTAATTTATGATAATTTAGTTATTTATATTAGGTTAGTTGTTCTTGCAAATTGAGAGGACTTTGTGAAGTGTGAAAATTGTTTCTTAGTGTTACAACTGTTGCCGGCTACAAGTTATAGTAGGTAGTATGTGTATTGGGACGTGGGCGATACACTGTCCGTAACCAAGGTGAGCTCTCTGCATACGAAAATCGTTTTTATTTTTATTGACCAATCTCATTGACTCGGATTTTAAAAGGGTCTTTAAATTTATGATACTCATGTTAACTTACGTATTCCTTATTCGGTAGCAGTTAAATATTTTCACTATATGATTGTTCCATACCTTAAATTGAGTATTAAGGCCATTTCATAAAACAAAGTTAGTTACAAGTTTTTATTTACTTTTATAGCAGTAGAGCATGACTGACAACCTTACTGATAATATTTACAAAATAGGAAATGTTGTTCAATACATATTGCTTAAATTTATTCTACAACAACTGTTATTTTTATTAAATTTTATTATAGTCTTTTAACAGTTTGCATAATCGCATATTTCGCATTCTTAACAAATTTAATGGAAATTACTTTTTAAAAGTATTTCGTTAATTTGTTTTTCTATGAATAAATTAATTTTCATTGCACATTACTTCCAAGTGGTTATAGTACCTAATATTTAAATATAAATATCTGTTAGTTTGTATGATAATGAAACGTAAATATACATTCTGAGTTTACGAAGTCTTATACAATCCATGCCACATATGAAATACTAAAACTTTGTTGACATTTAAAATATAACTTTTTCTATGTCGTAATTATGACGACCTCGGTGGTCTAGCGGTCTAGCACACCGCTTTACGACCGATGGTCGCGGGTTTGATTCCTCGCACGGCATAAACATTTGTATTCATGAGTATGATTGTTTTATCGGTCTGGGTGTTTTCTATGTATAATATGTATGTATTTACAAAAAAAAAATCTATGTATATGTATCAGTTATCTAGTAACCATAACACAAGCTTTAGCTAGCTTAACTTGGGTCTAGATGGCGCTGTGTGAATTGTCAAAAACAAAACAAAAAAAATTGTCATAAGTATATAATAGTAAATAAAAGAATATATTTTAACAGGTAAACCGCCCCAGGAATCCCGTAGACCGCGAGCTCCTGCTTTTACTTTTGGCCAGAAACTTGAACCACCAGGTGTCACAACGAAAGCCGGTCCAGGACCTGCTACTTATAACACAGAAGGAATGACAGCTAAAGGTGAGCCTAATTGTACAATATGTGAAATAATGACACCAACTACTACTATCACGGATGGGGTAGTTAGAGGCATTGTTGACAGTGTCAATGTTGTAATGATGCGTTCACTTGACATGCCCTCATTTCGCTTGATATATTTTGAAACCAACGTGGCAGAGGGCCAGCCTACCGTCAGCACTCAGATCAATTTATAGTTTATATATCGGTGTTCCGTACCGGAGAGTCAAAAATATAAATTGATATATACAATATTTTGATTTGTTTGATTGATTTGATTTGAGTTGGACGGTAGGGAAAAAAATAAAATTATAATGTAAAAATTTGACGTTCATAAGCGGCTAAAATGTCCTACATGAATAAATGATTTTTGAATTTGAATTTGAATTTGTGCCGACCAGGTTTGAACTTACAACCAAGAGGTCGCGAGTTTACACCTGCTGCCCAAGGTGGTAATTCAGGCCACGGCGCCAGGCTATGTTTATGTTAAAATAATCTTTATTCAAACAATACACTACCATATAGATAGATATATTACAATGTAATTTTTTATTGTTCATTTTTAATACTAGAATGTAATGTATTTACTATTTTATCTTTAAGACGACAATTATTTAGTCTTCATCCGGAAATCTTCCTCAGGGTGATTGTATTTGCCGCAGTGCGTGATGCACTGCTGCTTGCATAGTTTATATAGCTATGAAATAATCTATATTTAAAAGTTTATATTTTTGTTTGATATGAAATAACAATTTGGTCAATGACCGAAGAGCTTACGGAACTATAAACGGCCTTAAGTGGGTTGCGTGCTCATTTGAAATTCCCTCTATCGAAACTACTAGCCAAATGCCCTGCCTACACGTTACGTACTTATTAGTCTCATAACATGGGCAACACATCGAGAAGGACAATTTCCTCAGTCAGTCAGGGAATTAGCCAATTCAACGTTGAAGGGGATTATAGCCACATTGGGTGTATATTTATGACTTGATACATTTGAATGTATCAAGTACATATTTTTATTTTCTATCTATTATATTACTAGCATAGTAGATACATCTTATAAATGTTTAATTATTTTCATTATATATCTACGCTTCTCACTGTGTTTATTACATTTGTTGTCATTTGCATAGGTGTATTTTCAAATTGCAACTCTTTAAATTAATTTCGAATAATAAAACTTTTTGACATGTTTTAGTTACAGGCTCCGTTGCATAGTTCGCAATTGAAACTGTCAAATAATACATTCACAAACTGTCTATTTTGATATCTATGAAAGGATATTTGTTAGTAGCATTAAATAAATAAACAAGCATCTGCATCCGATGACTGATCATAGCGTCACACCCAAAGGGGACAGGCCCTCAACGCAGCGAAGCGCATCCTAGTTGGTCCACATCCCACGAGACGTTACCTATTTTAGATAATAGATATTTTACTTCTGTTTGAATTTACTGTACTTGTATAAATAGCGTAGGTAGTCGGTTCGCAATTTTCGTTCACAAGATAATTGCTCGATTTAAATTAAGATAGGCACGAGTATCCAGAGTGAAATTGATATGTATGTCGTCACTGTAACTGATCTTTATCTATTGTATTATTTAAAAAAATATATAAAATTGGTTTCATAGGATTATTTTTACTTAACTTTCATAATAGTACAAATATTTAAATAGAGACTCTTGGTGTCGCAGTGGATTATTTCCGTTATTTTTAAAAACCCCTAACGCTGGAACGTTTTGTCACACACACTGATATAGATGTGTAGTAAGTAGTAGTAAAGTTTACATGAAAGAGCACTGATTAAATAACTTTCACTCTGTATGTAGCCCTATATGATAGGAGTGTATTTGATGATTGAGTGATTTGATTTGGTTAATAATTTATACGTATACAACGTCTTTCTAAAGAATATAAAATAGAAACAAGCGTTTATATTAGGAAACTTATGTTAAGTATATTTTATTTTACCTGCGTTGTACTATATACACACTTATTTAAAAGTGTATCGTCTAGTGAAGTCGATGTAATATTAAAATTTAAATTACAATAAGTAAGCTATAAGGCAGTTATTGAAAATGATTACTCCTAAGTAGTAAAATATCCTGGTTTTGACATTAGGTAGCACTTTTACAATTCTCAAATAAGGTACGGTCTCATGTCAATATCAATGTAGGTATGATGACGTACTCTTATAAGTAAACAATTTGTCATAGTGAAGTTACTAACCAATATTGACATGGTAAATATTTTTAAATATTCCCTCAGAAGAATATCTATAGTTTTTTTAGTACAAGGTACTGCATGTTTTATAAAGTATAGAATAGACTACTTGAACTACTTATATTGAAAACAGCATATCAAATAAAAATGCAAATAGTTTCATATTAAGAAAAAAATATATAGTTAGGCATGTGATTCATTCTGCGACACATAACTTATGTGGGTCATGACTGCAGTCATATAATTTGCATAAATAGTGTCGTCTGCAGCCATTAATTTTTGTATAATGTAGATGTGAATATACCGACAACCGTAGTGGGGTAGCGCCTCATTCCAAACATTTGTAGGCCCAATTATATAGGACTGAACAAAATAATAAATATTTAAGTATTTCGTTAGTGTTTTGTTACAGTTACTGCTCACACACAGTACAAACTCTAGTTGTTTAAGGTTTAGGCGCTGTACTTATTTTTATGCAGTCTCACTAGATCTATATAATTATATCTATACATAGAAAATTATCTCTAAAATTAATAGTATAGTCATACAGTCATACATACATACAGTCAGTATGTACTGTAAGGTGTAGATGTGCGGTGTTCGGTAAAACTGTTTGCTTCTTATCAATAAAGTTAAATTATGATGCCATACTTCTTCATAAGGTCTTGGAAAATTAATAAAAATAATGTGTTTTCAAGAATTACAATCATTTTTGACCTACTGAAACTGCCTTCTTTAGCTATAGCTACAATTACGTCAGTATTTTTAATTACTGCATGTTTGTGTTGGGTTGTTATAGCTTTCACTTCCTTATAGGTAAGCTAATCTTTATAGTATTACGGTCTTCGTATACTTTTTTAGATTATGATAATCGCATGTAATGGCGTCATTTTGTTGTTTTCATAGTCCCTTGGTTCTAAAGAAAGTTGGTTGATTATCTTATAGGGAACGGTTCAGTTGTTGATAAATACAAGTACATTTTGTACAAAATGTACTTGTACTTATCTTATGTTAATTAGTATGCAACGAAAAGAATATCAAACTTATAATAATATTTATTTTATAAATGCGAAAACTCATTAGGTAAATATTATTATGTTTGTTTGTTAATGTTTTACTGGTCGGATTTTATTATAATAGCACATATATACTAGTAGATAATATATAGAATACTTTCGGTCATAGATTACATACATCCAATGAATGAAAGTAGCTACGTATTGTAAAAACAGTAAAATAGAAGTCTGTTGATATTTTTTTGTGTGTGAAAATGTACTGTGTATTTGACGATAATATAAACAAACTACACAATAATGTAGACACGACATATATGTGTGTTATATTCCACAAACGTATACATTAAACAGTTGAGTGAATCAGTTAATATTGGGCCTGTTATTAACTTTTGGCATTGGTTGATCATATAGCCTCTCCGACTGCATTCGTTGTCGCCAAATAAGTCCGTATAGTCGAAGGTGATCGGCAGTGAGTCACGAGTCGTGTAGGTGCCCGGACAGACCCTGAGTTCTCGATTGGCATCAGCCTCAGTCGCATCCACCTCGCTTCATTACCGCTACACTAGTACCTAACTTGTTTCAGTACAAGTGACGATTATTCAGTGTGTGACGGATTATCGAACAATATCAGTGTTCTGGCTATTCTCTTAAGCTTTTTAAAATTAAAGGTAAATATGAAAGGATTAATATTATCAACGGCTGTAAATATACAGGTAGATAAGATAAGTATTTCGTGTTGCGGAGATTTTGTATCGGCTAATTTTAATCATGCGGGTTATATAGATTTGAGAGACTTATCATTGTTTGATTCATTCAAACAGTAATAACAAAGTTGTAAAATATTGTCGTGGCAGTATGGGATTCTATTCATGGAATATGTATAAGAAACTGTGTTATCATGTTATCGCATTATTGCGTTAAAATGGTTTTAAGAAGTAGAAAACAACATTTGAGCAGTACTAATTGTATTAAAATGCTTTAGAAACGCTACAATAAGAAAGTGTACGTATTATTACAATTTTATAATTTGTTATTTACTAGCATATCATACATCTTACTCTCGTGAAGTACGATATAATATATACTATGGTGAATGTAGGATTACGTAAAATCTGAATAATTATAGGTAAGTACTCGTACATTACAATGTTTATTGTTTATATCCACAGTGCAGCTGTTAGTAATACATTACCAATTGTTGATACTAGTAGGCGAAATTAGGCTTATAGTAAATTAACACTCATTAAAACTATAGACAATTAATATTAAAGACAAACAGTATTAATCTATTTTTAATTTGAGCACGTATACTTTAACTTACAATAAACCACAGAGTATTTATGCGTGTGTGTGTCAAATACATGATATTGTGTATAATGTTTAATTTTTTTTGCTTAATGTAATATTAAAAAAAAATAATAATAATCTGCACAAAATATTTATGTAAGGTATAGTGTACGAAATTTCATACCATCCGCGTAATTTTCGTAAAGAGGGGTACAAAGTTTTGGCTCCACGTATTAATATTTTGATAAAACGGGGTACAGGGCGAGCGGTGGGTCCGGCGGCATCTCTGCATGGCCGCTGGCCGCCGCCGCGTGTCGCTCCAACCCCTGCGCCCTGCGATTACGAACCCAGCAAGGCGGCGCGGGCAGTGCTAGACCACGCTCCAGCCTTCTCTATAGGACTACGAATCTGCCCGCCACTGCCCGGCGGTAAAACGCCAGGTGGAAAATGATTCCAATAGCTTCTGTACTTTCATTACAATGATTATACCCACTTACATTTTCTTCACTTAAGCAACTCCATTATTTATGTGGTCGTTTATATGATTTGTAGTGTCTTGGTTGCCTATTTAGTTAGCGTGCTTTTTTTTTTCTGCGTTGTTTGTTGTTACAAGTGGATCATTATTCACATACATTAGTTAGTAGGTACCCACTTACTTATTCATTTTGCCACCTACGTTACCATTGTATTATTTGCACTGTACAAAAGTACATTATACATTACGTATGATATTCATTTGTGTTTGTTTTGTAAGTTAGGTATAGCCACGTATTATAAACAAAAAACAGGTTCACTATCTTTATATATACTATAAACCACTTGGTATTCCACTCGTCTGAAATTTAAGACTGTTCTATAACTTTTGCCTTTACAAACATGTATTCATACATACGAGTACTTATCCGTATCTACTCAATTTAATCTACGAAATCTTCACTAAATCTCACTTGATCTCTTTCGCCCTTTTGCAAGAGTCAAGAAAAAGACATTATGATTACAAACAAAATGGTTGATGGTTGCATTAATTATAAAAAAATAACCAATCCAACAAAAAGCGGCTCTTCTAAACGTAGTCACAATTTGTATACGTGATTGTAATCTATATCTTATAATTAAAAGTGAATTCTGTTTCATTTTCGTCAAAATTAAAACATTCACAATTCGTCACAATTAACAAAGGAGACTTATGAAGTGGTCTGATTGCTTTTGCCTGACTCCTTGCATGACAATTTCAGTATGAAAGTATCAAGGCAGTTACTGGGTATGGAAGCATAACGTCATATTCAGTAATACAATCTTCAAAAATAGCAATGTATGTGCGGTGCTCAATTGTAAATTCATTTATTACTTATAGATTAATTTTTTAGCATATGTAAAGACTATTCATGGTAGGAGTTACAAGATATCTTTGTAAATTATCTCGTAACTCTAAAATGGAATTACTGATACTGACGAACAAACCACCCTTTACTGAAAATATGAATACCAAAATGAAAACTTATACAATTGATAATTTATCAAAGATATCTTGGAACTCCTACCATGAATAGTTTTTACGTATGCCAAAAAATTTAATCCATAAGTTATATCAATGTATTGTTACTATGAGACACGAGCGTTTTTAATACCTATATAAAAACTTGCACAGTTTTACATAAAAATGTCTGAACGTAATTAATATATTTTAAAATATTGTATCCATGTATTAATATTAATCTTTACAAATGTATTTATAACTTAATATTTGAATGAAAAAAGAAGAATTATTAATCCAATAATCAATATTGTATTTCATATGTTACAGCGCCGAACGTATATTCTATGCCACCTGTTCTGGGGGAAGCCAAGGAAGGTAGTAAACGGGCCGCGCCCGCTTTCAGCATAACTGGCCGAGGAAAAACCGTGGAGTCGAAGGTATCCATGCCAGGACCTGGGACGTATACTACTGATAACGCTGCCACTGCTTTGACAAAGCGACCACCTGCTTACACCATGGCTCCGAGGAGAGAAGTAAAGCCTCCCTCAGCTGCGGTACCTGGCCCTGGTGTCTATTGCCCTGAAAAGGTACTTTTTCTAAATCTATAGATAGCTTTTAAGGATAGCTTAAAGAATTGAACTAACGCATTTTAACCTTTGGTCAATACTGCTATACTATACTATCTACTTACATAGACAACGAATTAAAACAAAATCAAACATGACATGATCTGACTTTACCTATTATTAAAATTATTTTATCGTAACTTAAACCTTAATTGCAAAACAATATTGCTTTTCTGTTTTTGAAAAATAAAGCAAACCGTAATTACTTCGGTACATTACAAAAATTTATTAATTTTTGAGACATAAAATTGTGCGTTGAGCTAACTTTATTTATATTTTGACGTTTGATCTCTGCTTTTTAAAAATAATTTTTAACACCGTCTAGCGGTTAAAAACTAAAGAATACTCACTAGTATTTCAAATAAGAACCGACTCTGAGGGCTGTTATTAGTCCGGTCATTTTTAACTTATATATATAGATATGGCTAAAGATGTATAGCATTATTGATTATATTGTTCTTGACTAATTTCTTTTTTAATATTATATAAATAAATGCATTTATATTACTAATAAACTAACTTTGGGTGGGTGCACACGACAGGTTTGCTTGACGCTGCCGTGGGCGCCTGCACACACCTTTGGAATTCGACATTCGCAGTTCGCCGGACAAGCAGTACACTACCCTGCTCCTGAAGGAATCACTGCTATCTAATTGCATTATAGACAATACAAATGGCCTAAGCGCTCATATAAATTGAGATTTTCGCTCTTCTTGGCTTTGTAACAAGAGTCCGTATTTAGTAACTAATCTTTTATATTTACATTTTGTAATTATATTTTAATCATTATAAATTCTTGATAATTTTATAAAGTTATATCATATATTAATATATATAATATATTATATAAATAAATAATTTATTCGTTTGTCTATTATTGTCTCATTTTTTCAAACAGTAGATAAGTGAGAAAGTAATGTGTATGCGAATGTTGATGTAACAAATAAATAATAGATAAATTTTATTTAATTAAATATAATCTGTACCAGTAATGTCAACAAATAATATTTTGCATGCTGCTTGAGATTTATTCTTCAGATACAGGTACCATAAATAATTTACTCTTTTTTAATAAGAAAGTTGTTATTTAGGTAGCCATATAGATACTTTTTAATGTAATTGGAATAGCACACAAAATAACGGCACACCTGATGTTAGGTGGTAACTGTGACTCTTATAGACATGAAGAACACGAAGGGTATCATGCTTTGCCATTCTGTTCATGTTGTTATTTCACTGACTTATCTCACCCGTTTACCGAAACACAGCTTACATAATTAACTGCTTTGCTGCTGAAATGGAAGCTCAAGTATCAATGCAAACGACTTTTTAAGTTTATTTCAGTGTAAAATATAATATAATTTTTGGGTTTATGTTATTAATTAGTTATTTTTAAAATTACAGACAGACATTATACAACGGTCAAGCTCGCCTAAACATACATTTTCAAGCAAAATGAAAATTGTAAAAATAGAACAAGTTCCAGCACCAAACGCCTATTGCCCGGAAAAGGCTGATAAAATCTTAAGGGAGAAATCACCAGCATATTCATTTAGAACTAAATCCGATATAGTAAAAGTACATAATGGACCTGCTCCAAATGTTTATTCACCCGAAAAAGCCATGCATTCATTAAAAAATGGTCCAAAATATACATTGGCTGGGAAGGGCATAGCAGAAAAACATGAAGTAACTCCTGCACCTAACTCTTATAATCCACAAAAGGCAGATAAAATTTTGCATGGAAATTCCCCTGCTTATTCTATACGATCAAAAGAAGTCGTTGAAAAATTTGAACAGACCCCCGCACCTAATGTGTATGCTCCGGAAAAATCTATACATATGCTGAATGGCGGACCGAAATTTTCAATCTATGGAAAAGGCGGAAATGTTAAAGTTTCCCAAACACCAGCTCCTAATAGCTACGATCCTCAGAAAGCAGACAAAGTGTTACATGAAGCTTCGCCAGCTTATAGCTTTCGAATTAAGGAGCAAACAACTCTAAGAAGCGAATCTCCCGGCCCTAATGTATATGCTCCGGAAAAATCACTGCATATGTTGGATAGCGCCCCGAAATTTAGCATTAGTGGAAAAGGGATTTCAAATAAAATACCTAATACGCCAGGTCCAAATGCTTATTCACCAGATAAAGCTGATAAAATATTACACGAATCATCTCCAGCTTATACGTTCCGAGTTAAAGAGCAAGTTAATAAATTTAGTGATACACCAGCACCTAATGTATACAATTTGGATAAAGCTGATAAACTTCTACATGAATCATCCCCTGCATATACATTCAGACCCAAAAATACTTTAGAAAAACCAAGTGATACTCCCGCACCAAATACATATGATCCGCATTTATTAGACGGCACGCCAAAATTTAGTATGTATGGTAAAGGTCTAGATGCTAAACCATCTGATACGCCAGGCCCATGTGCTTATGATCCGCATTTACCTGACGGAACTCCAAAATTCAGTATGTATGGTAAAGGTCAAGAGGCTAAACCATCTGATACGCCAGGCCCATGTGCTTACAATCCTCATTTACCAGACGGTACGCCAAAATTCAGTATGTATGGTAAAGGTCCAGAGGCTAAACCATCTGATACGCCAGGCCCATGTGCTTATGATCCTCATTTACCTGACGGAACTCCAAAATTCAGTATGTATGGTAAAGGACAAGAGGCTAAACCATCTGATACGCCAGGCCCATGTGCTTACAATCCTCATTTACCAGACGGTACGCCAAAATTCAGTATGTATGGTAAAGGTCCAGAGGCTAAACCATCTGATACGCCAGGCCCATGTGCTTACGATCCTCATTTACCTGACGGAACTCCAAAATTCAGTATGTATGGTAAAGGTCCTGAGGCTAAACCATCTGATACGCCAGGCCCATGTGCTTACAATCCTCATTTACCAGACGGTACGCCAAAATTCAGTATGTATGGTAAAGGTCCAGATGCTAAACCATCCGATACGCCAGGCCCATGCGCTTACGATCCTCATTTACCTGACGGAACGCCAAAATTCAGTATGTATGGTAAAGGACCAGAGGCTAAACTATCTGATACGCCGGGCCCATGTGCTTACAATCCTCATTTACCAGACGGCACGCCAAAATTCAGTATGTATGGTAAAGGTCCAGAGGCTAAACCATTTGATACACCGGGTCCATGCGCTTATGATCCACACTTACCAAACTTTACTCCAAAATTTACAATCGCAGGTAAAGGCCAACCAGAAAAAATATCTAATGTACCAGCGCCAAATGCATATGACCCTCATCTTTCCGATAACACACCTAAATTTTCTTTAACTGGTAGAGCCCAAGATGACAAACCTTCAGATATTCCTGGTCCCAATAGCTACAGTCCTCTTTTACCCAATGGTTCTCCGAGATATACTATGTCTGGAAAGGGACCTGTTGGAAAACCTTCAGAAACTCCAGGGCCAAATGTTTATGATCCTCATATTCCTCATAATTCACCAAAGTATACAATATCGGGTAAAGGCGCTGATTCAAAACATTCTGATGTTCCGGCACCTAACACATACGATCCTAATAAGTATCATTATATGTTGGATGGTATACCCAAGTATAGTTTTGGTATAAAAGGTCCTGAGAGTAAGCCACAAAATATTCCTGCTCCTAATGCATATTCTCCTGAAAAGGCTGACAAGATTTTGCATGACAGTGCCCCTTCTTATACATTCCGACCTAAAATTGATAATGGAAAAGTTATAGATACGCCTGCTCCTAATTACTATAATCCCGAAAAGAGTGATAAAGTACTACATGAGACATCACCAGCCTATACATTCCGACCGAAAATTGGAGAAGGAAAAGTAATAGATACTCCGGGTCCTAATACGTATAATCCTGATAAGGCAGATAAAGTTATATCAGAAAAATCTCCTGCATATACTATTACACCAAAAGGAAAACAGGAAAAAGTTAATGAGAACCCGGCTCCTAATGTTTATAATCCAGAGAAAGCAGACAAAATTCTATTAGATAATGCACCACGGTATTCTTTTAGAATTAAAAGTAATCCACATAAACCAGATAATATTCCTGCACCCAATAGTTACAATCCTGACAAGGCCGATAAAGTACTGATGCATAATTCTCCGCAATACACATTTAGGATCAAGACCGACACACTGAAGGTTGTCGATACTCCTGGTAACTATGATTACTTATATTGATATACTAAATAACTTGTTTAATAATTTACAATATAAATATTATTCTCATTTTACAGCACCAAATACATACACAATTCCTACACCTATAAAAACACCACTATATACCATATCTGGAAGACATAAGGAACCTATCGATGAGCGACTAAAAGTTCCAGCCCCCGGTACATACAATCCTGAGAAGGGCTATAAATTTGTGTTGACGTATTCCCCGCAGTACACTTTTGGAGTCAAGATTCACACGGAGAAATATGCTGAAACGCCTGGTAATTAAATTATGTATACACTTTTTGTATAATTTGTATAATTGTTAATGTTACGTTACTAAAGGTCGTTTTATATTTCTTAATTTTTACATTGACTTTTTCCTACAAGGAACAAGTCAGTCAATTTCCAACATCAATTTGCATTAATAAATATATTAGATCAAAAATTATTCACTATACTTTAAAAAGGTCTATCAAAAAGCTATTACTTTATATGTAATACATACTATAATGTAGAAATAGTCTTACTATTATAGATTATATTCAGAAATAACGATTTACTATTTAATTAATTAAGGAAATTATTAAAAAAATAATAGTAATCCTGGCCTAAGTTTCTAAGTATTTTTTGTCCTCTTAATGTAAGGAAAGCTTGAGTTACGTTTTTATAGACAGAATATGACAAAAAGGAAAATAAATTGCAATGCATTATTCATAAGTATATTATTATTTCAGCACCAAATACATACCGAATTACATCAGTGCTGGACACTCCGGTATACACTATATCAGGTCGTCACAAAGAGCCGGTCGATGACCGGGTACGAGTTCCTGCGCCAGGCACCTATTCACCGGAAAAGGTAACTTTAATAATTTTTAACGTTATTACCGTAAAAATAAAAATATTGTATAAATTGCTCAAACATAATTTATTCAGTATATATTATATATTTAATTTATTTAATCATAATATCGATAAACTAACTATATTGCCATTCCGTAGCAGAGCTTCCTAAAATAATAATCAAAATTTAATTTCATTCTTCTCTCATATTCAGTTTTGCTTTATTGCGATATAATACAGAATATTTGTAATATAATTTTACATTAACTTGATGATCTTGAAATGTATACAAGTATTGTATATAATATCATTCTGGCTTCACATTTAACTATTTATAGATAAAACATAAGTGCAAAGGTATTCCCTATAATATTATACTCGTACTCTATTTTATTATTAACTGAATATATATATATATATATATTATCTTATTTTATAGGTGCAGATAAGCAAAACACCGCATATAACTTTTGGCATTAAACATTCTCCTCTTTTGGGACAACTGAAACCTATTGAACCCCTTCGTCCAATTGAAAAGCTCACCTCTAATGTGTCAAACACAACACAAACAAAAATTATCAACGAGAAAACAAACAACGAAATTATTAGACAAACAAATAATAATATCCAAACCGATGTTAGTACACATATGATTGTACATGAATCAAATAATATTTATAATGAACATCCCCATGTAACTCACGTACGAGCAGAGAGTGAATTAAGAAGTACTACTGTTACTCCAGAACCAGTCCAGGAAGTGCTGACTCAGGAAATCGTTTGGGTGCCCGAGCAGATACCTCGACGTGGTTCATATACTATTGATAAGAGTGATGGATTTATCGAAAGATATCAGAGTAATGAGGTAGTTCCTTTGGAAAATGGGGTAATTAGAACAGCTGCTAAAGGAGAACGTGGAGCATCAACGATAAAGGAATCTAGTACTGAAATTATTAGAGGGGAAGGATATGAGCGAAACGTAAAAAAGAATGTTGAAAATACATCTGCCCATGAAAAGAGTCAAGCGGCGACTGAGGAAGTGCGTACGGGCACGAAAGTACAGCATCTTCCAAATGGTGGTATTGCAAAAACCACTACCACAACTACTATTCGTAAAGTAGGAACAGCTGCCAAGACTGCAAATGCAACGACCACTGTGACTCGTACTGCAACTGCAGTTACTTCCCGTGACATCGGCGTTAAATAATTTTGTCTGAACTGGAATATATAACATATAAAAACATATTTTGACAGAATGCTTGATTTGTCTGATCAATAAAAGCCTATTTTACCAATGTGAACTTACTGCTTGCTTCTGAACAATTTAACAACAAACATCATGTTTGAACGATTAAGTTTAATCCTTTGTCTGAGAGCTCGTTTACGACTCTTCAATATTTAATTTATTCTTATTATGCCCTCGATTCGTCTCTCTATTTATAGACAGGCGCGATCTCTAAATGTTGATACTGCATGTTATTTATTTCATTATACTCACGTCCTAATTTTAAGAAATAATTAGTATATATATATGTTTACTACTAATTAATTATATCATTGTAACCCACTAATGTTAATAATTGTTATTACCTACATAATTTTTGCAATAAATTTTTTTATTAATACATCTCTTTAAATTAAACTTCCTATTAATATAGTTTTAAGCAATAAATCGAACAAATTGATTTCGTTTAAATGGTGTTCTTATAAAAGTAAGTTCAGTCAGTTTAGAATATAATATAGAAACATATTACCCCTCAGTCTGATAAACATATAGTAGGGTATTAGAGGTCTGTCTGAGAAACACGTGAAGAGACTGAAACTTGGGGGCTTTTGTATGTATGTAAGAATTATAGTAGAAAGTCAAAAAGATTAATATTTTCTATGGGATCTGGCGAGAAGTGTGGTGTTTTACAATTTTTGATCTTGGCACTATAGCTATATAGAATATAAATTCAGAAATCTGTCCTTTAAACATTTTGTACTAATTTTGTAGATTAAACCACTATTATTTTAAAAATATTATCAGTACTATCATAAGAATGCATTATCGTCTCTTAGCAAATTTTGCCTTGTAACGAAAGATATTAAGACTACTTCCACTACCCTAGTCAATAAAATTTTTGATTATGTTTATTTTACGTTGATGATTTACATTAATTTTTACGAGCTTGGAATTAGTCATGACCTAGGAATAGCGAAAATAAAAAAACTGCATATTTTCGTGCGATAAGTTAGCGATTTGAGTTTAACTGGAATTGTTATTTTAGTATTTACTATATTCATATCTGTTTATCACTGGAACGTAAACATTCCTGTAATCAGTGAGCGGATGCGATAATTTATGCTTGTAACGGAAGTTTTAAAGGCATGGACTCTGGAATTCTGGATAAGTGGGCAGTGAACTACATTGTTCGCCCACGCACAAAGCTGTGACCGCCATATCGATATGGTGTTGCGACGACTCGTGCGCATAGACCTGGGTACGAAGCAAAAGTCAGAGAACTATAAAAATATTGTGTAGCTAAACTATGTGCGCTGTAGCATGGTGCGGATGACAGGTGCTACATTTAACAGTTGCTAAATTTAAGTTACTACACTTATTAACGAATTACGATATGACGAATGTAGGTACAGCTGAAATATTAAGTCATAATTTGTAAATCGCGGCAACTTTCAAGAGTGAAACGTAACGTTACTGAAACTGTCACTCACACCATGCTACAGCGCACATGGTTTGGAGTATAGTTTTAGATATTATTTGGAGTGGAGGATGATAGGATGAATATGAGGTCAGGTCATAGCCCATTGTGATAAATTCACAACGAATTTATGACGATGGTTTCCAGGGCGAACCATGTGGAGGTCAACCTTAGCAATGTATAATTGGTATTAATGGGGTTATTCGTCCACATTATTTACAATCCCCTTCCCTCATATAGTATTATGTTATCTGTGCCCATATTAGTGTAACTGGAATATACGTTACAGATATTTACACATATGTCAGTGTTTAAAGTTTTGGGGGAGATTGTGTTTAAATATTTGATACGTCTGGTGCCCCAGAAGTATGAAATATTTAAATATCAAATTGTCCCCAGAGTTTAAGAACGCTTAATCATTTGCGCGTCATAATTGCTCCCCCTACTTAACATACATACCATAAAGTAATGAGTTTCACAAGAAACGAAATGTACTCCTACTGTACTGATATTAGTCATATATGGTAATAGCATTTTGCTGATAGACTAATGTAGTAAACATTGACAGTGGACTATGTTATTAAGGAATTTGATAAAAGGCGACATACCAACTAATGATAGTTAAACTCAAGATAATATTTTTTATTTTTTATAGGTTATATTTGATTTAATATTATTATTCTGATTTAAGCTCTAGTTTAAACATATGTACGTAACTGTGAGAAGTAAGTAGTTATAATTGCTTAATACAGTATCATCACTCACTGTTTGTCTACTGCTGAACTAGTCTTCATAAATAAAGAAGAACTATATTGTGTGCCTACATTTATAATATTTCTGTCAACACTGGGCACCCTTCCATTAGTTTACTCGTACGTCTCCACATAACTTACGTTCTGTGAAGTCAATCCACGCTACGACTCCATGTCGAATGTTCGCGTTACTAATAAGCCATGTAGCATAGTATCAAATGAACTTATTAGTGTAGCACAATTAATACACCTGTATACTCACTACTTATGTAGATACTATAGGAAACAAATAAATTAAGTAGCGACACCTCATCACATCATACATAACAGTGGTTACCATCGCACTACAATTGCAATGTTTGTACCGACTTCCTTTAACTTTTATTTGACGGCCTCGGTGGTTTTTTTTATACTACGATGGTGGCAATCAAGCATACGGCCCATATGATGGTAAATATTTTATATTTAAAATTGGAAATAACAGAAATGATAAATTAAATTTTATTTATATATGGACTTGACTTCCATTTTTTTTTCTCTAATCCCAATGCTTTTAAGTAGGATAAAAATACTATTCTTAAAAATGGCTATTATGATGACGATTATCAGTACACAGAGTTAGTCTTATTCAGGTAACAATTTGAATGCTAGTGATAATATAATAATAATAATAATATCAGGACAATTCACACAGCGCCATCTAGACCCGAGTTAAGCTATCTAAAGCTTGTGTTACGGGTACTAGATAACTGATACAAGTACATAGATATTTTTTTTTCGTAAATACATACATAATATACATAGAAAACACCCAGACCGATACAAACAATCATACTCATGAATACAAATGTTTGTGCCGTGCGAGAAATCGAACCCGCGACCATCGGACGTAAAGCGGTGTGCTAGACCGCTAGACCACCGAGGTCGTCAGATAACATGCATGAAACCAAAGAGTCTCCAAGAATGTAAGTGAAAATAATAGTAATTTGCAGAACCTTTGTACAAACTGTGCAGTTACGTGATATCTATCACATCAATATATAGTGTGAATTTTTATTCTCGAAATATATTTTCAGGCTTTTATTCTGCAATACTTATAAAATAGAATATTTTCTAAGTATTCAGCGTGGTATATAACCCTTTGTCAAAATTACGCTGCAACATCAGCGTAGTATATATTTGAACAAGTTTTCCCGATTTTTCATAAAGTACGATAAGGCAGAACCACACTGGTAGACCTCAATATAAACAAAAGCTTAAATTTATTCAATGATCGCGATTTGATATGATTACACTAATGTTGTATTTAAAAATGATTATCTACTTTGCTATTGCTCTATGAGATCATAAAATTTCCCTTAAAGAATCCATCAGGGTCGTTTTTCGCCAGTTCACTTTTTACGTTACATAATATTGGAAGCCTAATTTTGTTATAAAGTGGAGTTTTAATGGAGCCACCACGCACAACGCGACGTTGCGTTGGTTGATTGACGTAATAGCGTAACCCCGCGACCCCGCAACCGCGTTAGTCCGCTCTACCACCCCTCAATAAACCAAATTAATGTTTGTCCCCTTATCAGGGACGTGTTGTTGACGTGCACACTACCAAGCTTATAAAATACACCTAGTACCTGTATGTAGCTTATGTGTACTTGTGTAACCAATGCACGATCATTTCAAACTTATAGGACAAGACTTATTTTCTTTGAAAATTCTTCTGATATTTATTTTAACAGACTATTTTAAATTTTGCAATCCGTTAATATAAACATATACGAGTAATATAAACCTAATAATAACGAAATGAAATCTTCATTTTTTAAAAATTTAAATTTTGCTGTAACTCTTAATCTTTCCTTGCATATCTAATAAATTGTTACCGTTGCAACTTTGTGTAACTTTGTTAAAGTTCAATAAAGCTGTTGTATAAAATTTTTAGATTACTTCACTTGTGTCGAAGAGCTTAATCAAATTTATTCACCCGTAAATAATTGGAAAACATCATACAACTAAGTTCGGTTTGATATTTAGAGCTTGAAGCTTTTGTCTCCGTATATAATATTTAATATATTTTAAAACAGTAAAATTATACATAGGGTACAAAATGAAAGTTTACTTATGGAAGTTTTAGATGTCACAGACTGAATATACTTGTATGCAATTGCAGACGTGACATCATCTGCTAGTAATCTGCAGTCAACAGTCATATATCCTATAAATGAATATTGATTGTAGATATATGACAGTAGTGACATATTTAAGATTTGTGCCAAAGATTTTAGTATCTTCTTGTATGTCTAAAATACTGCATAGAGAATATTGTCTACTGAAGAAAAATCATTGTCAAGGTGTTTTGCTGCTGCATATTAAATAGAAGCAGTTAATTATGAATAGTATGTAACCACCATAGGACAGCATGCAGTTGAACTACTTGCTGCATTGTTGTACGTCAATAATCTACTATACTAATCTTGAGTTATAAATATTACTCTGCAATAACAAATGTTAATGCTGTCTATTTGAAACTAAATGTTCTGAATAAACATCATTAATTTATTGATTACCTACTTTATAAATATATACTCATAGCAACCGTTTTGCTATAATCAGAGTGTAAAATTATCATGTCGGTAGTTATGCTTACAGCTTAGTAAGTTAAATGTCTAGTCATTATTAATTCTAATTTCGCGATCGAGATTGTATGTGATGTAGTTTTATTGAATGTGAAGATTAGATACTTAACTCACATAAGCTCAAAGCTTCATTAAGACTTATTCACTTCAGTGACGTGAATAAATAAAAGACCATAATCGCGTGATATTTTACTTATTCATGAAGCATCAGCGGCATGATCTGTGAAAGCTATAGGCTAGTTGACATATTAATTGGCAAGTTCGTTACCTGCTTTCATAATGAGCGATCAATTTACCAATCTGTTTATCGATCGTTAGTCAAAACATGTCGCCTATACAAAGCTTAAACCTACGCTGGTTGACCTGACCTATCATGCGAGTAGTGAAAATTTTATGCATTATCATTTCATTAGTGAATTTATAATGTTATATTACACATAATTCGTGAAACTTATCGCCATTTAATATTTCTTTGTCCCGGCAACTTGTGTATCACGTTAAGTAATACTTCAGTAAAATTCAGCGGTAAAATTAGTAG